ACATGAGCACCCTTACGGGGACCAAGACTTTGTCACATAACATGACAAAAATTAACCTGCATGATTCTCTACAGGGATTTCAATGTTCAACATTAAGGAATTAAATGTGGGAGACTAGAAGGCGCCTTCTCCTGTAGGGTCCGAGCAGTCTTCACTGTGTAGTAAAATATGTGACCACTGTATTATTTCTTTCTCTCGAAGATTTGTACAACCCTGTTTAGGTATTTCTCCTCTTTCCTTGTCATGTACTGGCACGAGACAGGGAGACCTCTCTCAACCCAGCTTGAGGAGGGAGAGGACCTGGGGGAAAGGTGGGAAATGAAGAGGGACACACACAGGATGAGAGAGAGGGTGGTGTGGGGAGGACTGAGCAGGTGATACTGCAGCCAGCCCGTGAACGGTGGAAACAGGTTTATTTATAGAGTATCTTAACAAAGTCATGTAAATCTTAGCACATGGGGTAGAGATCAACCTTAAAGAGGGAAACCTGTGTGTTTGCTGATAACAAGGAAAGTATGCATGGGCTACATGACCTCTGGCAGGTGGGGAGAATGTTACTGGAGGAGAAGTGGTTGAGGGTTGTTCCCTGAGCAATTCTCAGACTGTGGGACCCTGCCTGCCACAGCCCACTCCTCACATTTCCTCACAATCATTCTATGCCAAAAGCACACACGTTTACATTAGTTTACATGACACAAGAGCCTTCATAAGGAAATGAAGACCAGAAAAAAAGCAGTTGAACCTGAGTGTTTTTTATAGTAGGCTTGACAAAGAATGGAGGGAGTCATAAAGAAATAGGACAGGGCAAAGAGCATGACCTGAACTGAGGACTCGCAGCCAGGTCTGCTCAGCTCCTTCTTTGTTGCACTGTGGGAGCCAAACTAACTCCAGTCACAAGTCAAACTACCTCCTTTTGCTGTTTATTCAGAACAATAGGGTGCCGCATACCAAGGACCTTATCATACCTAGGTGTTACAGCCCACATCCTGACCCCTCCCCTTTGTCTCACTAGCCCCCTTGTGCACTCAGCCCACATCCTGACCCCCTCCCCTTTTTGCACTGGTCACTCTACTCTGCACTCGCCCCACTTGCGACCCCCTCCCCTTTTTGCACT